CGAGACCGCTGCCTATAATGCATGTTTTTTCCCTGTTGCACTCATTTCTGGGTGGCGGGACCCCCCACCACATACCACGCGCGCTGGGGTTTCCGGGGTGGGGAATTCTGGGAGTTGAAGTCCGCACAGCTTAAAGTCGCCAAGGTTGAGAAACACTGCTTTAATGGATGAGTCAGGGCACCCTCAACCAATGCTGGTTAAGGTTCATGTGCTGACCAGTTTGTACAATATCTGGTGAGGAAGCACCTGATTGTAAAAGGAAAAGAGAAAAATGTAGCCACAAGGTGCTGCTTGAGTGGGAATCCATCTGAACTCCTATATTCAAGCACAACTGCTTTTCTTCCATTTCCAACCTCTCCTCCTCTTTTCCAGGTTCCCCTTTCCTCTGTAATATTAGGGTCCAGTTGAGGGATATCCTACCCAATTCACGTTCTTTGCAAACTCACCAAACGCAGACGTGAAAGAAATCTGAATAATTTTGCTCCAATCACAGACTGTGAGATTTTAGTGCAGGGTGTAAAGCCTTGCACGAATTCATAGACATCTAAGGAAGTTCTGGATGCTCTTGGCATTTAAAAGAATGGACTGCTGGAAAGTCTTAAGAGAGGCATGGAGGGTTAGTGTTGGCATCCCTGAGCGTTTGCTCAGCTCCACATCAAATGCTTTGCATGGGCCTAGCCACAAGTAACTGGGCCAAGCCTCCATTTCAATTTCCCACAATGCTCTGGTTTCAAGTCAGAGTCAGTGGGTATAGCCATCGGCAGCTAGGGGTGTGAGGGAGTTTTGGAGCATTGTAACACCGCTGTTACTGCCCCTTGCCTGGGGTTACAAAGATTGGACTCACAGAAGGAAGATGAATACTTTTGCTCGGGGCACGCTTGAACAACAGGGTCTGCAGGAGGGGGCAAGGGGAGACCAAATGACAAACGTAGCCGTGCAGTGCAAGCCCTGATCCTTTCGTATGTGTGCACAATGTTGCCTGCACGTACAAAAAAGGGTGGATTTTGCAGGGTGATGCTGTTGTTCTGCAGCAAGATCCTGCAGCCACAACTGTCCTTGAGCCTAGATGCAGCCCTGGTGATGTGAGAACTGCTTCTCACGCTGATAGGAAACCAACTAGCCAATTTCCAAACAATCAACAGATACAGGCTGCCTCACCTTCCTCAAAGAGTCAAGCACCTCTCCTTTACACAGAAAAAGGAAGAGAAAACAAACCAGAATCTCACCACCTAAAACTGCCTATATATAGATTTCTTATTTGAAAGTATATTCACTGGAATTCCTATGCTATCGCTTTAACCTTCTTTCTAGCAAATATTGCTAATCAGAACTCTGCATGACTTTCTCTTCAAATGAACTGTTTCCAGTCAGGTTGCTACAAGAGAAATCTGGCATGTGGTAGCTCTGTCCCCTCATCCCTGACCCTCATGTGCGGCCCCCAGTTTTGTCCCCCGATGGAAAACTGACACTCTCCTCTGGCTTCTTAGCTTCCTCCCACCCCAGGCCTTCCATTCTTCCTGTCTGACTCTGTGGTGTGACAACTGTTTATTAATAGTTTATAAAGTGTGTTAAGAAATCGTTAATCCATGACTGCACACTCACAGTGAAGACAGATTCTTCGTTCTAGTTCACTGTAATGGGGGCAGAACTATCCTTACTCCCCCCACCTCCATCCATGACGCATGACATAACAAAATATAATGCATGCACAGTGACTCAAGACCAGAAGGGACAACAAACGGAGAGATATGAAGGCGGTCTTGGTCTCTCTGGCAGAAAGGGGGCTGGGGGTTGAATAGAAGAAGCCTTCATTTCCTAAGATTGGATGCAGTCTTTATATATCTATGTGTACTGCGGGAATCTTGGTCTCTCTGAGACAGGAAGGTTTCTTTCTGGTTGGCCCAGAATACAACCTTCAGGGGAACTGGTGACAGTTGTTTGGGGACTTGAAGCCTGTGCGAAAGGGATAATGGATGGGTGGCAACTGGGGGTTTGGGGGAACCCACAAGAGCTTAACCTTTTATCCAAGGGGAGCTCTAGCCTGAGCAATGACCTTTCTGTGCTTCTACAAAGCCAGGCACTCAGATCTCCGCAGGCAATGCAAAGCCACAGCATCAGCCAGAGTGCCTTAATGTGAGATGACAGGGCCTTCTCCCTCCCCCAGATTCTTCTAACTGTTTGCAGCCCCTGCAGCAAAGAGATCCAAAATGCCTCATTGGTGAAGAATATTTCTGCTTGGCCCTGGCCCAGATACAGGGTTGTCAGGGTCTGTCCTTACTCCCCCCGCCCCCGCCACCTCAACCAGCCTGCCTCTCCCCCCCTCCCCATCCTCCCATATCCCCCTCAGTTCTATTTTTGCTGAGATATCTTTGCAAAATGCAAAGGGAGGAAACACACTTGCATACACCCAAAGGGGAAATGGGGCAGGAGGGTTGGGGTGGTGAGGTGGAGGAGAGAAGGGAAGTGTGGGGAGAGAAGGCCTCGAACTGTATCTAAAATCAGCACAAATGGAGAAGTTGGGCGGAAGGAGGGCCGCCTGCTTTTATGCCTTGGCAACCACAACAGCAAGGGCTTTCTCCATGGATGCGGGTCATATGATGGGACTGAGAACATCAGAATAGGATGCGCACACATACGGCAGTTAACACAGCCTTCCCAAACTTGTCAACTTCCAAGTGTCTTGAATAATTCTCAGAATCCGCAAGTTGGGTTGGCTACAGATTCTGATACTTCTGCTCCTGGCCCTCTGAATGCTCCAGGTTGGGCAAAGCCAATCAAAGGCATTAGGAATTAGGCTACATCCCTAAGGACATCTACCCTAGGTTTCACATGGGCAGGATTGTCCATGGGCCTCCAGGCTAGATCACACAATGCAGTCAATCATCAGGCATGTTTTCAAGATAATTAATTATTCTAGCTTTTTGGGAGACAGGGACAGTCTTGAGGTGTGTAGCACTTGTTAGGCTTTTTGTCACCAATTATCTTGGAGGGAAGTCAAGTAACTGGCAACATCTGGGAGCAGAGGTGAGAGAAGCAGGAGAGGGACTGGCAATGAGACAGCAAAGTTCATGCTGGTATTTTATTTCTGCTGTGTCAAATAGGATGGAGAACACATCAGCTCAGCTGTGGGGAAAGTCCCGTAGTGAGTGGGCAGAAGACCCAGTGGAGTAGCACCACTACAGCTTTTTATTAATAGTAGATATTCAGTTCAGCTGTTTAATGTTGATGGTTGAAAAGAAGCAATACTATGTGACTCAACCATTGGGTAGCAGCAGTCAACAAGGATGATTGTGGTTTGAGGTGGGGTGGGATGGCAGCAGTGTTTATGAATTGTCTCACCATGGAGCAGCAAACAACAGGAGCAAACTATTGGAGTGGAAGGATCTTGGAATTTCAGCAATAATAGCCTAACATTAAGGTCCACACTTATCTTAGAGCAATCCCACATTTTGCCCATCAGTCTCCCCAGGGATTACTCTAGGGCAGTGTTTCTCAACCATAGCAACTTTAAGATAAGTGGACTTCAACTCCCAGAATTCCCCAGCCAGGATGGCTGGCTGGGGAATTTGGGAGTTGAAGTCCACGTATTTTAAAAGTTGCCAAGGTCGAGAAACACTACTATAGGGATTGTTTCTGATTTATATTCCATTTTCCCCCTACTTACACTCAGATAGATAAGAGTTTTTCAGAATGCAAAAGGGTCCTTCTGAATCTCAGTGGAGACTATGAAAGGGTGCGGTGCAAAGAGCTATGTATCTACCAGGCTGTATGAACAACTAGTAAGCGGGAAGGGATCAAAAAAGTCAAGACACCATAACCGTACAATGAAAGCCCCACCCATTTTATATATGTAAAAAGGGATAGAGCTTCAGTGGCATGATCATGATTGCCACCTTGACTTTTCTAACTGCTTCCATGGACAACCCTGTCTAGGTACTGCTAGGTAGCACAATGTTCAGCTCTAGTAGGCGTATTTAATTATCTTACAGAGAAGGGTCCCACTACCTTCTTGTCTTATGTGCTAATGCCCTTAGCTTTGATTTTGAAGTCAGCAGCTAAGGTTCATCGGGGGGAGGGGGGGCTCTATTTCCTCAGCCTTAAAATACAAACTGTGGGCCCATTCATTTCCACTCAGCGGAAAATGTTTCCGTTCAGGGCATACCACCCTTTTGCCCATGTGCTTTGGGGTCAAAAAGAAGGTATACTTTTTTGCTGCTGCCACCTAGAGTTTGCTACCAAGAAACAAATGCTCAAAGGGAATGAGAAAGTCTAGTGTTCCTGCATGCTCAGCTCTCTCTTGCAAGAGAAGTAGCAACACACTACTGAAAAGCGAGCTTTGAGGAATTCGTAAGCACCAAATAATAAATTGGAGGAGGTGTGAGATACGTATTAGGTTGCCTCATCCGCTGGATAATCAGCCCACATTATTCTAATTGAAAGTAATTTGGAGTAATTATTTGAGGTCTGCAACATAAGAAAATAAAATGAGTCCTTCTCATTCATTGTTGCTTCCCACAGTGGCCCATCAAGTGCTCCAGGAAACCCTTAAGCTAGGCATGAAAGCATTCGTTCTCCCTCTTGTCCCTCTCATTCATCTTCACGGAGGAGAATTCAACGACACACTGCCTTTGAAGTTTCTTTTAACATTTAAGATTTTCTTTTAATTTGTGATAACCTCTGGATATGCTGGTGTGACTCACCAGTGCTCTCTAGAGCATCTAGGAAGTGATGCCAAGATCTTCGATTTTGGCAGGCAAGAAAGCCATGCTGTATCAAGCTGAAGGCCTGCCCAATCTCACTGGTTATTCCACATGCCAGTCAAGCAGAAGATAAGCACAAGAACCCCCTCCCAGTCCAGTCATGGTTGGGCAAACTGGGTTTAGAGCAGTGAGGAGCCAACTATGGCCTAATATCCCCAAAGCCATCTCCAGCCCCATTTCTGGAGCCCCCAAAGCATCCAAGCACAGACTGTGCAAATCATGTGCTTGGGAATTCAAAGCACTTCCTATTTCACCTGCTCCATCAAACGCTCCTTCTATGGAGTTTGTCCAAAATGTGAACCAAGTTCTTGTCAGCTTTTTCCTCAGTTGGTGGAACAGTCAATTAGTAATCAGAGAGACTGTGATGCTGAGTGAACAAAGGATTTACCTGGCAGAAATAGGGACTGGGAAGCAGAGAGTTTGGGGGAAAATCCAAGGGCATTCCCAGCACTGATATTTGATATGAGAAGATTTGGAGGTCCTGATCAAATTCCGTTTAGAAGATTACTCGATCAAGAGGAAGTCAGCAGCAGCAGCACCAGATGGCAGGTCACACTACTGTTTACATTTCTACAATGCCTTCAACTGACTCTCCACTCAGGCATTGTGGGAAATTGAAATTGTGATTAAAAACAACCCCCTAGTAACCGGAGTTATGAATTAGCAGTGGTCCCTACCAAGGTGTTTTTGTGTGCTGGTGAATACCAGTAGATACCAGGTAGTGATACTGGTCCTGGAGGTGGAACAAGCAACTTTATTTAGTAGGAGAAGGCAGTGGGCTGATCTTGGCCCACTCCAGATGTTAGCTGGATAGGGTGATTAATGAAGAAATGCTTGAGGCCCCTGGAATGGCTACCACGGTCATTGCTGAGAATTCTGGAAGTCTACCCATGTAGAAGGCCCCCATGCTGGGAAGGCTGTATTTAATACCTCTTAGCTATAATAAAGCACAGAATCAACTATTTGGAAGCTGAAAAGAAGATACACTCTAGGAAAAGCAGTTTGGAGCAACAGAGAAATTCCCTTCTGCTTCTCCACTCTACATTCCCAATCTCAAAGTTGGACATATTGAACTAACTAGCTCCTAAGAAAGCCCAAGGGAAAGGGCAATGCATGTTGTGTGTGTGTGTCTGTGTGTGCATGCACACACAGACACATATATAGAGGAATTTCATACCAGAGTTGAGTGATCCTGTCACCAAACTGTCTTGGTACCACTCCTGACGACTACCCCATGTGCTGTTTTGTATATTCAGCATTCTGCTCTTCTCATACATGCCATCCACCCCCATGGAATGGGGCTGAAGACCAGAGGGGCAGGAAGAAGGAAGGTGGAGTCAGTAGATAGAAGTTCCCCCACCTGGAGGACTGCAAGCTGCAGGGTACACACCCTGCCTTGTATAAACCTGCAAAAGAGAGAGAGAGAGAGAGAGAGAGAGAGAGAAGAAAGAATTAAGAAACATCTGGGGGAGATAGGCGGCATATAAATTTAATAAATAAATAAATAAATAAATAAATAAATAAATAGTTGCTAGATCATATTTTCAAATTCCAGATAACCCATGCTTCTTTAATCAGGCAATGCATTTTCAGCGACTAAGAAAACATTATTATTTTTATAATTCTCCTTCATGTCCACAGCAGGCCTTTAACTCTGTGAGCAAGTGCTTTGTGGGTAGAGGATTACTCTAGAATTATGAAGACTTTTGTTGTACGCTGCCCAGAGTCACTTTTTGTGAGATGGGCTGCCATATAAATTTGAAAAATAAATAAATACATAAAAGACTCAAAGTGCCACTTAAGTAGGAAGGTCATGCACTGGTAACATTAGGTCATCTCAGTCTAATCTACCTCACAGTATTGTGTGAATTAAATTATTTGTGACAAGGGAGCCGTATGTGCTGCTCTGAATTGTTTGAAAGAAAGTCCAGGTTGAGAAAGAGTGGGGCAGAGATCAGCCCAAGGAACCAATAGATCGGGCCGATCTAAGGAGCTTCTGTAGTTCCTTAGAAAGGAAGGGATTCCCTTTCTATCATTAGTCTCAAGGTCATGGAGTCAAACTATAGGAAGTAAATCCTCTTTCCTTCACAATCAGAAGAATTAGAAAATATATTGAATTGAATTGTAGTCTGCCAAATGTATCTTTACCATTTCTTTCCCTATATCTGTTCTTTATACCTGGCTACTGCTTGTTCTGGTTGGTAACTTTGTGGCTTCCCACAAACAAAGATGTGCTCCACCCGGGGGCCCTGTGAAGAGCTGTTTGTGGAACTTTAGAAGGCCAGGCAATAGCTGTACTTACATAGGTGGTTGGGGAGAGTTGATGTTCAGTCCTTCATCCTGGCAGCCCCTTCCCTCATGCCACGCTGTGAATGGGCCAACAATCCTGCCTTTGGCAGTTCTGAGTGCTAGTCAAAGCAAGCATGCGTGCACACACGCACACACACATTCCTAGCACTCAACTTCTCCCTTCTTTCCCAAGCTCTCTGGGTGGCCATCCATCACCACCCTCATTCACCTTATCCCTGGCTAAATATTCAGGAGAAGACATTTGGGGTGGAAGCTTGGGGCAGGAAACTTAAGAGAGGCAGGAAGGATAAGCATACATGGCTAGATAAAATTGGTGGATAAGTAAGAAAGAGCAAATGGAACAAAACTGCACATGAATGAAATGTTTGTTAACCATGAATGCAGGAGACAAACATATCACAGAGGTATTCTGAGATCCTACCACCTGTCTTTTCTCCTGTGCATCCATGTTTACCTACCAAGGCACTGGATAATAACAGTTATAGCAACCCCTAAAAACTCCACTTAGCTCCCTGCCATGATTTTTAAAAATTTGACACTCCCAGTGTGATAATTTTTTTGATTTCTTGATTTACATTCCTAAGTCACAAACTCTACAGACAGATGAGAAACTAGTTTGACCAGAATGTAACAACAGAAAAATGAATCTGTGTCTTAAGGACAATGCGACATTTGACAATGCCACTTGTACATACCTTTCCAGTAGGGAAATCTCTAGACACTTGGAGTGAGTCTATTGTCACCGCCTGAGGGCAGACTCATTGTGAGGTTAAATGTGTTAATTAAGAAATGAAAATATTTGAATAGGTTTATTACAGTAAGCTCTCGAGGGTTCCAGTTTTACAAGGAGGAACAATAAATTCCTGGAGCTCACTTCCTGGGAAAGGTAACACCTTTCATGTTGGGTGATGGCAAAGATCACACCAAAGATGAACTGAATGGATCTTCCTTCATCCACTAGTTATGTCACAAACTAATTAGTACAGAGAGAGTGGAATGGGATAAAAATAAAGCAAATGTGTTCTAAACCTGTTAATACTGAAAATCAGTTGTGATTCTGTTACAAGGGAAAAAGCAATGAATGCTTAGCACTAGGAGACCCTTTTCTGAAACCACTCACTGGAAATTGCCTCCATGCAATTCAGACTGGCAACAGATCTTTAGAGCCTAATCCTAACCTTAAGCCTAACCCTAATACTAATTATTTAGGGACTTAGGCAGCAGTGTATCTCTTCCAGCCTGAGATGTCAGGGAGAACCCAGCATCTTCTCCACACAAAGCATATGTTCTACCATGAGCTGCAGCCTTTCTCAATAAACTAGCAGAAAAGTACTGTAAATTGAACAAGGGAGATTCATATGTTACACAACAAGAAGACCTTCAAACGCATCTAATCTTATAAAAGACAACATTCAAAAGAATATAGATTTCTAGCTCTGCATTTGATATCTCTGAAGCATCAGAGATAGTTCAAACGTGACTAGTGTAGGGAACTTCATGGTCACAGACCAAACTAGGAACTTCATAGTCTTTGACCGTAATAATATACACGGTACAGAAATCTTCCAGGTACAACACATGTACAGTAACCCTAATTCTGGGTTAGCATAATATAATGCTATTAAACAACCTCCCAATAAACCATATTATAGCTTAATATGAGCTCTTAGTTCATACACAACATGTTAAGACAACGGCTGGGTTTCCCAACTGTTCAATCCCTAACGACCTAGCCTGGCATGCTATATGAGAATCCAAGTGGCACACAAGTCAGGATATATACATATAACACATATCATTTTAAGTATAGATGTGTATCATGATTGCACATGCTTCAGTGCACAGAACTACATTTGCAGTATACGCAGCGACCCTCTTCCAGAGGTACCTGCCCTAGCCACATGTGGCAATATTACACTCTCATGCACAGACATGATCCAGCAAGCAGAGTATTGACTTGTTCTGTTGTGCTAAAGGGAAAGAGTTCTCAGAGATTATTTCTTCTCCAGTATATCACAGTTGGGAAAATGTGCTGAAGTTTTCCTTTCAAATCCTTTTGCTCAACTGAAAAGAAGCAGATGAGGCCCATCTGACGATCTGTGCTCTTGATCTGAAGGAGCTCTCTTTCTAGTTACTTTTAACTTTAAAAAATGGAGATCCAGCTACAGCTTCATGAATAATATTGTAGGTTAGTCATTAGAAATCTAAGGCATTATAACAAAGTTGTAAGAAAGATGTTGGGATTTTGCAGCTTGCAGTTGAGAAAAAGCAAATAAGTAAAACAGAGAGATGGCATCACTGTCAGTGAATATGCAGATAATTTAAACCACAACTTAAAAAAGGACAGAAGACAAAAGAAGTAAAATTAACAAAAAGAAGAACATGGTACCTTCAATTTTAGCACAACAATGTGCTGATTAGTCTTGTAACTACATGGAGAAGAAACACAGCCCTGTTCCTATTATGAAAATTCACTTGACTTCCAAAAGTCTCAAACAGAATTTTTAAAACAGAAACCTAAATTTTGCAGCACAATGACAAGTAATTAAATTTCATTGCACTGCATATTTATAAACAGCATGTTCATCTTTAAATTAATTATGAAAACTAGTGTTAAAATGTCTTTGGCATGAAATAAAGTCCTCCTCATATTGGCATACCATATATGGGCTACAAAAATCTGGAAGACCACTAGATGTCAGCAATGAATAAGTTAGCATTTTCTGAATTGCTTTACTGCCATCTAATGATCAACCAGACTTTTTAAGTCCAGGTTTGCTATGCCTATCCTCGGGTACAACAGCAACCTTGCAAAAACATCAAAAACAAAGAATAAGATGTGTGTGTGTGCTACCTAGTTCAAACATCATGTTAAGCTGTGTCTTGCTTAATCATGGTTTGCCAAATGAGCCACAAATTGACTGCTTCATTCAAAATGCTCTGCCAGAAAACTGTTTACAAGCCATAATTGCTTGTTATAGCTTGAACAACTGCTTGCTAAATCAACCAAATGATATTCTGCTTTAGGTAGCTATATGAACCTAGCCTGTATGTATACGCCTGAGAAACTCCCAGTCTCAGAATGTTATCCTTTCTCCCCAGATAGTCAAATTCTTACTTTAACCATTCCATTTGCTGTACATCTGGTCAGTATCTAACCTCTGCTATTTCACAATATTTCACCCCACATATCCAGCAACCTAGCTTTGAAATTAAACACCATTAACCTTTCAGCAGCATTCATTTTTGCTAGATGTATTCATTTGATTTTACTGTAAACCATTTCATTTGGATGTCAAAATAGTGAGATGTCTCAGTTATTGCCTGTGTATCTATACCATGAGCTGCCAGATACTTTCTTCCTTGTCCTTTAACAGAGCAAGGAGAACCTCAGCATCTAGGTTTGGCAACCAGAAAACATAGTGATGGCCAATAATTTAAATGGTTTGAAAAGCAGATTAGACAAATTCATGGAGAATGAAGCAATCGGCCATGAAGACTGTATGATAGCCCCAGGATTCAGAGGTGCTAATGATACTAAACAACAGCACCTGGGTGCAAATCAGGAGTAGCCTTTTGCTCTCCTGTCTTGTTTTTTGAGCATTGTGGGAAATAAAATGCTGGACTAAGAGCCCAACCACACATCCCCTTAATTGTGGCTTGAAGATGCCTTGCTAGCCATTCTTCAAGGACACATCCTCATTACACAGCTTTTGTCATGTCCCCAACCTGGAACTGAGGCTGTCTAAGTGCCATATTTATCTCATCTACGTTAATGGCGCTTCCTATCTTCTCCTGACACAAACCTTGCAACAAATATGATTTGTGGTGCTTCAGCAGTGACCGTGGTGATGAGAGTCAGGGACTAGGATCAGTCCATCTCCTATTGGCTGCTTTTCACCTGCAGCATGCCTGATCCCTCCCCATTTTGCTTTATATTGCTGGATTGACATGACTCCTGGCTTCCGGAGACAGTCCTCCG